AGCGGCCTAGCTAGGCCCTGATGCCACGCTAGTAAAGGCGTTAGCTAAGACAAGGGAGCTAGTAGAAGAAATAGGACGTACGACCCGGTGGAGCAGTCTCAGAATAGACCACGTCGGTGAGCAACTCCTCGCGAGTGCTGGGGGTGGGGTGCTTGTCGGCGTACGCCTTCTGCTCCGCCGTAAGGTAGGGCTCGGGGTCCTTCTCCTTCCCCTTGACCTTGGCGGTGGACACAGTAGGCGGCGGTGGCTTCGACGGCTTCACCTCGGGCTTCGACTCGGCCTTGGGCGGTTTCACCTCAGGCTTCGTCTCCGCCTTGGCGGGCTTCGGCTCGGGCTTCGGTGGTGCCTTGACCTTGATGATCGACTTGTCGGTCGTCGATGGTTTGGTGGGCGTCTCGGCGGCGGTGCTGCGGAGAACGCGCGGAGTAGTCGTGGAGGGACCGGCAGCGGGTTGCTAGCAAAAGATGTTAGCGTAAATCCAAAGTGAAAAGATGTAGCTAGTACGTACCGGAGGGGTGGAGACAGCGGCAGCGCCACCCTCCACCGACGCAGCGCGACCCTGAGTAAATAAATTTATCACTGGGTGTCCGCTATGGTTGGAAGGAGGACGTACTGGAACAGGGGGCTTGTCTAGGCGAGGCTTCTTGACGACAGGCTCCTCCTCCGACTCGCTATCAAGGTCGATCTTGGATAAGGAGAGCGGGGTGCGGGTCTTGAGTTTGACCTGCGGCATCTGGAAGTCGGAAGTCGGGAGATCGATGCCGGCTGCGTCCTAGACAGGAGAGTTAGCAGGGTACTACTATAAGGCAAAAGGGAGACGTACGAGGAGCTCCTGGAGATTGTCGGGGTAATCCCAGAGCATGTCCTGAAAATCGGCCATGCGCGGTTTCAGGTGCTTGCGCAGGAGGAGCCGACAGGCGATGGACACGGCGGAAAGGTAGGCGACGACGTCGAGGGCCCATTCCTCGGGGAAGCGCTTGAAGAACTCGGCCTAAGTCGCTAGCGTTAGTAAAGAGGACCAGAATGGTCGGAGGGACTTACCAGCAGAGGACGCAGGGTGTTAAGCAGAGGGACGGCGACGGTGGAGTCAGAGAACTTGATGTTCTCCTTGGCGAAGAATTGGATAATCTCGGCGAAGGCCTGGTACGACGAAAAGAACGACCATGGCGCAGCGGGACTAGAGCGGTCGACGAGAGAAGGCGAGTTGGCGGAGAGAGAGAGAGCAGTGCCAGAGGGCGCGGGCGACGACTTGGGCGCTTTGCGTTTCATGGTGGTGGTAGGAAGAAAGAGAAGAGGGGGAAAAATGGGCGTACACAGCTAGCGCCTCACATATAAGTGAGACGCTAGCCGAGCGAAGCACAGCCGTGAGAGAGACTCACGCGCTAGCGGCCCTGAGGCGCAGCCTCGAGGAACCGCGGAGATTCTCCAGAAATAATATTTCCGGAAATAGCCGCTTCCTTTCCCACAGAAATCAGGTGCCTGTGCGTAAGTCACGAGTTTAGGCTGCGGACTAGCCTTCTGGGACCAAATTAAGGTTCAGAAACGCTAGCCAGCCGTAACCAAGACATGCAAAGGGGCTAGGAATGTAATAGGAGAAGTCTGGAAATAAGAGACGCGGCTAGCAATGATGTATTTGATCCACTTCCTAAAAAGGCAGTAATCAGGCTTCTCGGAAGCAGAAGGCATCATTGTGGGCGCTAGCGTGGGTCTTTCCTAGTAAGGGAAGCTAAGTTCGAATGTGTGAAAATTGGATAAAAGTCGAAAAATTGGGCACGTCTAAAAGGCACTATGCATGGGAATGCAAGAAAGACCAAGAAAAAAATTTGAACGTTGCTTGAAAGATATCATTTCAACAACTGCTAGACTGGAGAGTACACTCGTACGAACCACAACCGGGGACGGTTGAAATTTAGTAAAGAGGAGATGAAACGGCGCAACAACAATGTACCGACATCTAGCTGCATTTTGCGATTTTTAGCGCTAGTTAAATGCAAGGCATACTAGGCTTCGAGTTGTAACAAGCTAGCTTTCTAATAGGTGCAATAGGCCTATTGGGACTCTGTTTGGTGATACAAAGGAGGGTCAGAGTGAGCTCCGGCTGCTGACCGTAGTACAAACTTAGTGCTAGGCGCGTGAACAAGCGTTACACTAGGGGAGTATACGCATTAAGGAGGATTACTATGGTCTAGTACCTCATAGTGTGGGCTAGCGCGCCAATAGATGACTTCCAGAGAGCACAGGATAACGAGAGTTACCAGCTAGCGTAAAGAGGAGAGACATACGAATAGCTAGTGTGCAGCTAGCGGGATAGCACTGAGCTAGGGGCCATGTTCCATAAATAACTTGGCGCTAGCTTCGGGTTTATCGGGCTAGCTGGCGATAGCGACGGCTAGGAGAAACTGTCGGCACGAGCATATGCCGAGTGATAGATCAGGTGATCGACGCGACGCGTTTGAAGGCAGCTAGCTGCACCAAACAAACTCAAAAGAAATGTATTACAGAAGAGATGGCACGATGGCTGAACGGCTAGATGTTCAGTCCGTGCAGAGACGGAGGTTGGGAGAGGATTGGTGAGCAGACGATGGCGGGAATGGTTTTTCCGAGTCGTTTTGCAAATACAGAGGTTCCGGGAGCTGTAAAAGCTGTACGGAATTGGCAATATACCCAGCCTAGGCCCCCAAGATGGTCAGCTAGCTGACTGTCCGGCAAGCCTAGCGCACGATAGCACCGGCTAGCTCGCCGTAGCGGAGCTGCACGGACCAGTTTTTACTCATTTCACTTTACCTCATCTCTTTCTCTCAACTAGTATAAAAAGGACATGTAAATACCGCTGAAGACGAGTTCATGCCCCGCTCATCGTTACGACGATAAGGGTGTGCTCAGGCCTAGCTAGCGGAGATAAAGTATCTTCTTCGTTTGTAAAGTCTATAGAAATCGAATCAGTGTTGTTGGATCCACGAGTAACTGTGTGAACTAATAAGCAAAGACTCGCGTTGGGAGCTTGTGAGCGGCAACGACCTCCACGTATAAATCGGGACCGAGCGCACAAAGAGAAAGTTTGAGAGTTGTCGTTGACTTCGTGGTGGACTTCGCAAGGGCTACGCATTGGGTGACTAGGAAACGCCTCCCGTAAAACGGACTACGACCAGCACAGCACTTTGGTAGAACTCCTTGGTCGATTCATTGGCCGATTAACGAAGCTTGAGTGAACCCTCTAGGTCCAGTATAAGCCCAAGTGTTAAGGAAAAGAGCTTAGATTCAAGGTTCTAAGTCGGCACCCAAATATCTGTTGATCTGGGATCGTCATAGAGGAGAGAATAGCTGGCGCAGCATAGTCCGTAACTGGAAGTTTTCAGAAGACACTTTATCACCTCGCCTAGGACGACGTAGCAATCTACGTCCGCTTAGTAAAAACCCTTTTTACCCCAACCCGTTCATTCCAATCCCTTGGAAAGACTTGTTTCGGTCAAACGGTTGAGCTAGCTCAGAGATTGAAGTGTTTGTTGGGATAGTTGAGGCCATAAATCATCGCTAGTGCACTAGGGAATCAAACCAGCAGTCGCATACTACGACTCGGGACCCGAACTCACTAGGAAGATGCGCTAGTCTTAGTGTTATAATCATAAGGGGATTGGTGTGGTGTGTTAGGTTTTAGGTGTGGTGTGTTAGCGTTCAAGCTAGCCCATACTTTAGCTTAGCTAGCCTCAATTCACTGTCAGCGCATCTTGCCCATTTCACCGTAGACACCCCGTTCTCCGTATATGGGTTCTTAGTTCCTGCTTTGATGCAAGTCCAACTTCGGACTTTTGATCTTCCGGCATGTGTGACCGCGGATCGGCAAGTCGGCAAATCCCGACTTGCGGCAAACCCGGCTCCGACTTGTTCATCCGAAAGCCCCGAGTGTCACGTGATCCTACACGTCACGCACTCTTGTCATAACAATGGACAACAGCCGTAAGTGCTACTTGCGTTGCTGCAAGTACTACTCGGTGTTCCTCGGTCAATCCTGAAGTCCCCAGAGTGGATATTCCTTAAGTCCTTTGATACATGGCTCATTGCAAAGGACGCGTTCCTGTCCTTTGAAGTACTAGCGGATCTTGAAGTGCTGTTTGAACGACTTGCGGCAGTATGTACTTTCTGCTCCCATAGTCCAGCTGGTTCCCAATTAACCATTGCAACTCTAGTGCCAACGCTACGCAACAGGACTTGCTGCTAGCGGCTCGACACGCGTGTGTGCAAAGCCAGAAGTAGTGAAAAAGTGAGTTTTCACCGGCGTTCATTTTCACGGCTTATCACCGCGTATTCTACTACTGCGCGCTTTCAACTCCAGAGTGACAGAATTCCCTTCCGCTTCGAATTTATCGAGCGGGAGGATCGTGCGGACAGGTTTTCTTGACGCCCCTGGTCCTAGTTGACCTTGGTTTGTCCCACTATTGAGCGGCGTAACCCGCAGCAGAATGTATTTATATATTTTTAAGTCTCCACCCCGACGTACTGGGGAGGAGTAGCTTTTAGGTACGAGCAGTGGGAGGTAATAAGATATTTTTCCAGTATTAGATCGCTGCTATTTATACTAGTCCCCGCCCGACGCTCGCGCGCGTACTTATTTCCTTTTCCGCCTCTGCTGCGCCTCGTTCCAATTGTCCGGCCTCGTTCCACAGATCTCCACGCGTTTCCGCAACAAGAATGGGGTTGTCGGTCTTCAACATTCTTCCCATACGCATTCCACAACTCATTTGTCCCAGGCCTGTCCTCTGCCGCCCCGGTCCGCCCGGGCCGACTCCGCAACTTGTACAGTGTTTGGATATCCACTCCGCACTTTGCTCCACCTTTCATTCCGCGCCTTCTTCTTTAGTGAATTATGGGTCCGCATAATGGACTCAGCGTCCAGTCCACTTGCTAGGTCTGAACGGTGCCTTCTTGCCCATGTTGACCGTTCCGCAATTTCCTAGGCCTCCGCTTTTGTGCCTCCTGAATCCTTCGCAGTGTCCAGCTAACATGGTCGAATGGTGCAGTTGGTAGCACACGCAGATTCGTTGAACCGTTTCATCGACTACTCACTGTGTGACCCTTGTTCAAATCAAGGTTCGGCCCTGGAAATTTCAACCATATCTTTTTGCATGAACTTTTGTTGTGAGTCCCCGCGTTATCGTGAATGCCCTTGTCAGGTCGTGTGGAGTTTGCGTCAGCCTCTTTCTTCATTCCGCTCCGCACTCGTGTATTTGCTGTTTTAACCTGTGGAGGGAGCACATCACAAAGTGATAGCTCACAACGGCCTGAACATCTCATCGTTCAGTCATCGTGCCATCTCATCCAACATTCATCTCTTGGAGTTTGTTTGTCGCAGTTAGCTGCCTCCAAACGCGTCGTGTCGATCACCTGATCTGTCCCTCGGCATATCCTTATGCTGACAGTTTCTCCTAGCCGTCGCTATCGCCAGCTGGCCCGATAAACCTGAAGCTAGCGCCAAGTTATTTATGGAACCCGACCCCTAGCTCAGTGCTATCCCGCTAGCAGCACATTAGCCACTCGTATGTTTCTCCTCTTTACACTAGCTGGTAACTCTTGTTATCCTGTGCTCTCTGGAAGCCGTCTATTGGTACGCTAGCCCACACTATGAGGTACTAGACCATAGTAATCCTCCCTAATGTGTATACTCCCCTAGTGTAACACTTGTTCATAGGCCTAGCACGAAGTTCGTACTACGGTCAGCAGCCGTAGCTCACTCTGACCCTCCTTGGTATCACCCAACAGAGTCCCAATAGGCCTATTGTACCTATTAGAAAGCTAGCTTGTTACAACTTGAAGCCTAGTATGCCTTGCATTTAACTAGCGCTAAAAATTGCAAAATGCAGCTAGATGTCGGTACATTGTTTTTGCGCCGTTTCATCGCCTCGCCAGATTTCTACCTAGTTACCACCATCCTTCAAGTTTGGCTTCCGTGAACTGTGAAGAATTACCTGCCGGGCTGCTAAGCCGTTGAGCAGGTATCAGTGAGGGTTTGTGGGCGGCCAGCACAGTTGAGGAGGCTGCTCATTCCCGAACTCGGGCTGCAGGTGGGTCCGGACCCTACATCAGACTTTCTACAGATTTCTTGAACGCGCTTGAATGTCCTTAATCTGGCTCTGGTGTCATATGTGGAACCAAAAAAGTTTTTTTTTGAATTTTTTTCAAAAACTATAGTATGTAAGCCCGTACTAGCAGTGTAAGAGGTTTGACCCTATATGTCTCCTTGACGCAGTTGGATTCTGTCTGACTTCTTTATACTCTCACTGGTTGAACATTTCGAGTTTTTTGGTGGAACAACTGGTGGAAGATCTTTCGAAGGTTACAGTGATTCTTGCAGAACAAATCAGGTGAAAAATTCAAAACTTCTTTGTGGATTTTTTGAACTCCAAGAAGAATTCACCAAGTCTTGAAGAGAAATCCACAAAATTCGAAAAACTCACCAGAAAGTCACAAGTTTCTCACTTGAGTTTTGCTGGAAAGAGTAGTAGAAACTTGGAAACATTTTTCACAAGTTTCTTCACCGAAAAACTTGAAATGTTCAACCAGTGTCTGTAACACACTTGCTTTTGGTTCGAGCCTCGCTGGTGTCATCTGTTTTACCGTTCACACTTTTCGCCATGACCGCCTTTCTGTACCACAATAAATACAGTTCTGCTCTTTACCAACTGCTAACTCATTTCACTCTGAGATTACCGCTCAATCTGGAGCTGTCATTGGTGAAATTTGTCTTTAGCTCTTGCACTGAAGTTGTGAAACCACAATAATAGAGAGAGCAATCCTCTCCAAGTTAGGAGAATGTCATTGGTACGACTTCCCAAGGTTCAATCATGATCCACGCAACGCTAAAGTACTCAACTCAACCCGGACACTATTTAGTTGTTCTGCATCCCATTCTTTTAAAGACCTGAGGGGTTTTTGAGCACGGTACACAACCCTGAGTCCTTGTAAATGAAAGCTATCTAACCCTCTGTGCACACAATTGTTTGCTCAGAACTGTATTCCCCCCTTAGGCAGGACTTAGAAAATTAGCACGGGTTTGAGTCAAGTTCCAGGGAAATTTGTAAAAAACACAACACTTTCCGTTGGCAAATAATGTATAAAGAGACATGGGAGGAAGAGACACATCCTGGCCTTCTCCAGAATTTCTGACTTCCTAGCATAACTTTCTTAATCATGATCCCAAATTTAGTGTTTGGATTACGGTGGAAGTTCCTCCTTACTTTATCAACTCTTGTAAAGAGTATTCCTCAGCACAGTTTAACCAGATGTGAGCTGTACCATGTACCCTGCTGTTTTTCCAGTCTCAATTTAACCCAATTGACTCTTTTTGCACACATTAAATTTGTAGGTTTCTGCGCCGCACAGAACAAAAGAATGCTGCCTGCGGCGCTAGGGAGTATTTGAGAATGTCATTTGCGCAGTTACTTAATTTTTGAAGCCCTGCCGCACACAGAATATCGTCGAAACACTGGTTGAACATTTCGAGTTTTTTGGGGAATCAATTGGTGACAAATCTTTTGAAGGTTAAAGCAAAATTTTCAGCGAAAATCAGGTGAAAAACTTCCACCTTCCTTGTGGATTCTTTGAACTCCAGGGAAAATTCATCAAATTTTCAACAGATCTCTACAAGATTCAAAAACTTCACCAGAAAGTTACAAATTTCTCACTTGAATTTTGCTGGAAAGAGGGGTGGAAACTTGGAAACATTTTTTACAAGTTTTTTCGCCAAATAACTAGAAATGTTCAACCAGTGAAACCTTTGTGGTAACAAGAATAAGGGTGTAGGAAGTCTCCAGGCCCGATTGGGTCTGGCCAGGCCAAATGCGGCCTGAGTTACCAAATCGGGCCTGGCTGATGTCCACATATGACACCAGAGCCCTTGATCTTGCTTGAATTGGGCGAACAAGTGCGCAAGCTACAAGCAATCACGCTAGGTTCGAATCCCGCATACTATATGTCACCCAGTACTGGGCCACCTTAGCATTTTTGCCTTCTGGCCAGCCGATACAATGCTTTCTGTACCAATATTTTGATGGTTGAGTAAGTAATAAGATCCCAGGAGTGAGCTGTAATATTTTGGGGAATCTTGGGGCTGAGCTTGAGCCGCCAGCGAATTTATTTTCGGCAGTACCCCAAAATAGCAATAAACGGGGTAGTGGGCCACCGGCCTGATTCAGGCGTCGAGACGCGTAACATGAATCTGGGAGTACTCAAAATGACTCAGGGGGTCTCAATGCATAATTCTAAACACTCAAAATGTGAATTCAAGGTGTACAAGGGTTATAATAACTGCTACCTCCGGCAAGGGAGGAGGTGGGAAATCAGGGTATCGACGAAATCGTGTGCGCTACAAGGCAGACAGAGCAATCTTGGGCAAAACTAAGTGTCGGAAGTGTAGATAGGAAGGTATGGCACATGCCTAAGTATAATAGATGGCGCATCCATGCCATAACCCTTCAAACAAAATCCATTTTGTTGCTGCAATGAAATTGGGTGGTTCCACGGAAGGACCCTCGGTGAACGTGAAGTCGAGCACTAGAGGCCCAAGGCAAAGTTGGAGGGCATCTGAATGCATGTAATCAACGTACCTACCAAGCTCTAGGCCAACAGCAATGCTGAATGGGTCGCCATAGGGCGGTCTGTCTCGCGCCGGTCAAGAGAAGGCCGGGCTATTCTTCGACAGCCTAGGGAAGATTTCGGGTTATCCTGGCGCGTAGCCTCCACATAGAACATTGCCCTGGGTAGAGGTAATACAACGAGCCTACAAACATGTAAATCGGTGGAGGATTGGTTGAGAAAGAAGGAAAAGAAGAGGGCAAGTGGCGCTCGGAGATAAGGAATGATCGATTCTCACCCTGCCCTCGGAACCAAACGGAGCACAGCGTATGATCAACGCATCACCCGGCCTCCAAATTTAGTCTACATCAAGCTTAGACATCATGCTCCCTCCTCCGAACACCAAACCTCGCAGTTCCGCAAGATAACGACGTCTATTACCCAAGTGGCCCACTACCCCGACTGGCCCAGTACCCAGTCGCTAATAGTAAGTAAAAAAAAGTTTTTTTCTATAAAGTGCACCGTTGTTTTCATGCAAATTGGAGCAACTTTTTTTGCCAAAAATATTGGGTTCAGGTGGAAAAGCATGTTCAAGGGCATTCCAATGCCAAGACTCTGTGAAAAGGCTGATGTAACCAGCTCAGAATACTCTAGTTTCACCGTGACTGTCCCTTTCCCCCCGTCCTCCTTCCTCCGGCAACCATCAATGAACATGTTCCGAAAACAAGCAAGTACTTGTTGGGGTCACTCAAGAGACTTCATCTGCTGCATGGTATACATGGAGTCTTGGGACATCCATTCATATTACACCGATGTCTGTTGTGCCGCGCTCTGTTGCATTTTGGCTCCGCACGATGATTGCGTGGAATTATTTCGCTACTTAGTTCCACAAGCAATACCATACCTTCGATTCACTCAGGGATGATACTCCCGCCGGAACATCAACCCATCAACCCATTAATTCAACTTCCCACGGTTTAATTCAGACAGAATTTAGTTTCACGCAGGACGGTGTTTCTTTGCCAATTTGTAGTCTGTCAAAAAGAAGAAGAAGAAAAAAAAATGTTGCACCGCAACATTGACATGTTGGTTCGGTCAAATCAGGATACTCCCGGCCGCACAAGGGGTACCCGCGAGAATGCCGAGACATCGGCTAGGTGGGTACCTCCCTCGGCCGACCCTTTATTTCAGTTTTTGGAAAAGGTGCAGAACCTCTCGAAAATGTGTTTGCAAAGGTGAAAACAAAAATTGAGTTTTTTGGTGGTGGGAACTTGATGGAAAGTCGGTGAGGGACGCACTTTCGGGCCTCGAGCTCGTCGTCAGCTCACACTAGTGTCACAACAATCTTGATATACACTTACCTCAAATAGGCGCCGAACCTTACCAAATTGTCTGCCGAAACGCATCTTCGATCACTTTCTCAGGCAAATCACCATATTTGGGCAGCACGGGACCGTTACGATAGTCTGCCCTCCCCAAGCCGTTAATTGACTTTTTAGACTCCGTGTAGGGGATCTTTACTGCGGGTA